TTTGTAAGAGGCCGCGGTTACGAAGGTAACCGAGGCAGAGGTAATAATCGAGGAAGAGGTTATTACCAAAATCAGAATAACTTTCAACAGGCACAACAATACTCGAACAATCAGAGAGGATACTACAGAGGACAATCTCAGAGGTATCCAAATAATTACAGAGGAAGAGGCAATGTCGTCAACATGGCTAATGCCTCCCCACAACAACATCAACAACAACAGCAACAACAACAACAGCAGGCACAGCCTGATAATTCCCAACGACAAAACGAAGAAGCAAATCTGATTGATCTTTTTCGCTAATTTTAGCGTAGAAAGAGCTCTCAGAGCTAAATTTAATTTATTCAACAAGTGCTTTGAGTTGATTGTGGACAGCGGAGCATCTTGCTGTCTAATCGACAAAAGGTACATACCGGAAAATTTACAAATAAATGAGTCCCAGACACTTGAGGTTAGTGGTGTCAACGGGTTAACACATACTTTGGGATATGTGGATACTTTTTTAGGATATAATTCTATAGAATACCCCATAAGGTTCCATGTAATGAAACAATTACCACCCAATGTAATTGGATTGATTGGCACAAATTTCTTAAAAGACAATAATGCAAAAATTGATTTTGCAAAAATGAAAATGGAATTTAAAATCCCAGAAGAAGAGTACAACTTTATAATACCAGCCAGAACAGAGGTAACTAAATTTTTAAAGACAGGCTATACCGACACTTGTGTTGTATTGAATCAAGAAGTTCAACCACATGTGTATATAGCTAATGCATTAGTACAACCAGTCAATGGGAGAATACCCATCCGATTGGTTAATATTAAAAACAAGCCAATAAAAATTTCAAAACTACAACCGATAATCAAACCTGCAAATGATTATTTAATTGTAGAAACCAATCACAAAAAAGAAAAGAAAGACAGAATGTCACAATTGTTAAAAGAATTGGAATTAGGACACTTGTCTGAAGTAGAAAAAAAGCACATAGTACAAATTTGTACGAAGTATGCTGATATATTTTGCCTAGAAAACGACAGTCTGACAATAACTAATATTTATAGTCCTGTTGTTAAGGTTAAAAAAGAAGCACAGCCTATTTATAGCAAACCCTATAAATTACCACATGCTCAAAAAGCAGAAGTTGAAGAGCAAATTCAAAAAATGGTCAAAGACCAAATTATTGAACAAGCCACTTCCGCATGGAACAGTCCTGTTTTACTTGTTCCCAAGAAAAGCTCGGGAGACAAGAAAAAATGGAGACTTGTTATTGACTACAGAAAAATCAATGCAGTTATTGAGGACGATAAATTCCCTCTACCGAATATTGATGATATAATTGATGCACTAGCAGGTGCAAAGTATTTTACACACTTAGACCTATCGCAAGGCTACTATCAATGTTCACTGAGACCTGAAGATAGGCCAGCAACAGCTTTTTCAACACCCTCAGGGCAGTATCAAATGACAAGACTGCCCATGGGATTAAAAATAAGTCCATCCTCGTTTTCACGTCTAATGACTGTAGCGATGTCAGGATTAGATATGACGAAGTGTCTTGTCTACTTGGATGACATTATCGTCTTTGGAAAATCCGTTGAGGAGCATAACAAAAACTTGATATCAGTTTTTGAAAAACTCCGAAAAGTAAATTTAAAATTGAATCCTAAAAAATGTAATTTCTTCAAAACAGAATTACTTTATCTTGGACATTTAATATCAGCTGAAGGGGTTAAGCCTGATCCTGCAAAAGTAGAAGTGGTGAAAAATTGGCCAAGACCTAAAAGTGCTGATGAAGTCAAAAGGTTTGTAGCTTTTGCAAACTATTATAGAAAACATATAAAAAATTTTGCTTCGTTATGTATACCATTGAATTATCTAACACGTAAACACATTACATTTATATGGAATGATGAATGTGAGAAATCGTTCAACATGCTTCGAGAGAAATTTTTAAGTCCACCAGTTCTCGATTTTCCGGACTTTTCAAAAAATAATACATTTTCTCTGCATACTGATGCATCTGGATATGCAATAGGCGCTGTCCTTTCAAATATGAATGGCAGACCAGTTGCTTATGCCAGTAAAATGCTGAATAATGCTGAGAAAAACTACCCAACAATTGAAAAGGAACTTTTGGCCATGGTTTGGGGCATACGTCATTTCCGACCGTACTTGTATGGGAGGAAATTTGATGTGTATACAGACCACAGACCGTTAGTTTACCTTTTCTCATTAACAGACCCTTCAAGTCGACTGACAAAATTCAGGTTGGCTTTGGAAGAATATGACTTTGAAGTGATTTACAAGCGAGGTTCAGAAAATGTGATAGCGGACGCGTTGTCACGTATTTCAAGCAAGGATCTCAAGGAATTCACTGAAAAAGCAAATTTAGTAACAACCCGTTCAAATACACGAGATAAAACTAGTAAATCTAATACGACAATTAATAATAGGACTGATCACCCTACATCACCGATTGTCAGTAATATAGAACTAGTAATTGACTCAAAATGTAAAGATGTTAAGTTTGACCCAGATAAAATTACAATACCGAGTTTCAAGACTTTGGTTCACCTACGGGGAATCATGGTGAAATTGACGGAATATTGCAAAAATAGAAAAGATATATATCTAATTATAAAGGAATCAAGTAAACATGCGCATGAATTACTAGAAAAAATAAAAGTTTTAAATATGAGGAGTACTCCAAGAATAATAATACTGGGCAATAAAATACAAGAAATTATAAATGAGTGTGATAAAAAACTTATACTCAACGATTTTCACATCTTACCGACAGCCGGACATGCTGGAATACAGAGAACTTATAGGACAATGAAAAAACGATATTTTTGGAAAAATATGCATAGAGACATAGAGGAATACATTAAAAAATGTGCCTTGTGTCAAAAGAACAAACTTCAAAACCAGAAAAAAGTACCAATGGTGGTTACATCTACAGCCAATGGTGCTTTTGAAAAAATTTATTTAGACCTAGTAGGTCCACTTTTACCTACAACAGAGGGATATCAGTACATATTAACAACTCAATGCGAATTAAGTAAATTTATCACAGCAACACCAATTAAAAACAAATCTACTCAAGCAGTTGCCAAAGCTTTTGTAGAAAATGTAATTTTGAACTACGGAATTCCTAGGGAAATAGCAACAGACAAGGGAACAGAGTTTATGTCAAAATTATTCAAAGATATTTGTAACATATTACAAATAGCTAAATTAAACAGTACAGCCTATCACCATGAAAGTATAGGTGCTTTGGAAAATTCACATAAAATTCTAGGGAACTTCTTACGAATTTTTTCAACAACAAAACTTTTTGATTGGTCCTCATGGACAAAATTTTACCAATTTTCTTACAACAACACAGTTCATTCAGAAACAAACAAAACACCATATGAATTGGTGTATGGAAAAATTTGTAACATACCATCGAATAGAACAGACAATACTAAACCAGACCCAATTTATAACATAGACGACTATTCCAAAGAGTTAAAGATGAAATTATAAATAACACAACAAGAGGCACGAAGTGAACTTGTTAAATCAAAATTAAAGAGAACAACAAATTCATATAAAAACGCAAGACAAATGAAGTATACACCAGGACAACTAGTATTGATAAAAAATGAGACAGGAGGGAAAATGGATCCAATTTACAAGGGTCCGTTCCCTGTAGTAAAGGATGAAAACCCGAACATAACAATAAGAATAGGAGACAAAGAAGATACAATTCATAAAAATAGGGTAAAACCATGGACGTGTGGTGGATAACTAAAATAATAATTACATGTATTAAATCATTTATTTTTACTCATTATTGTTTATATTATATTACCTTAATAATCAGTAATAAAAAAGAGATGAATATGAAATATTTATCACAATAGTTTATAAAGGAAACATTTACGCTTAAAATAACGTAATTGGTATGAAATACCTCTTGCAACATTTTTATAATAAATATCATTATACAAACTTTTATAACATTTATAATAACATATACATATATAACCATATTCTACAACAATCAAAATCATTATAATATTTAGGAAATCAATTCATAAACCCGTAAAGGTAAAGTAGAGAAGAATTACCTACACTAGTATATAATTGAATATATGAATTAAATAGTTTTAAATTTTTAACTAATAGATAAAAATTTAAAATAATATAAATAGGGCGTGTGGTGGATACCGACCTAGCCACCGCAACGCGAGGCAAAGTGTATGTTGGTCAACCAACGTACGATGTGTCGTTTATGCTGGATAAGCATTACCAGTATAAACATCACATATCGTTCTATGGGCGATGAACTGCATTTGCTGACGCAGCGTATGCTACACGGGGCTATCGCCAGCCGTTTAGCAGTAAGTTAAAAAGGAGAAAATAAAACGATGATTCTTAACGCAACCACCGGCCTAGTCACATGATATCACACCTTTTTAAAGTACTAATCTTCACAACACAAAGGGCACCATTACGGAGCATTAGATTTGATCAAAATATTCGCAGTTCAACGCTTCCAGCTGGGTGAGAGGCGATATAGAACGTCATGTCCGGTATCGCGACGATTATGCTTGCGCGTATCTGACGCAGTTTAATTTTAATTTATGATATGCGTGCCATTGTGCGCTTATATTTTATTCTCACAGGTATATATATACAGGTATTGCACTATAGACGTCCATATTCATCAGGTTAAAAAAAAATACTCCGCTCACTTGTCCCTCTGAGGATTTCTAGTGCAGATGATATTTAACATAAAAATAATAATTTTAAAACGTTACTCTGGGACCATAAAAAAGATAAAAGAATATTGTTTTCAAACAGTTAACATGAAATCAAATTACCGTGATTCACATTTTTTAAGGTTTCGGTAGATTATCGATACAATCTGTCATTTTAACAAAATTGAGTACACATTTTCAACATTCTTATCACAATTCTTTACTTCCAATCTTTATTCCTCCAGCAAAACCAGAATTGATTTCCTGAGCGGGTTCCAGTTGGACGACTAGTTACATACAAAAAATCAATGTCCATCACAGATTTTATTTCATATTCCTCTAACAACTTCTATCGTACGTGCGGAACACATTTATGTAAGTATAGATCCGTCTTATGACTCGTATTTCATCAACCTTTCTTCCATACAGAGGCATAACAGCTGCGCTTGAAGTGAAAATTGCATCCATTTTGTGCCCCTTGTGTGTGTGCGTGTGTGTGTGTTTTTTTTTTTGACAAGGAGGAAACCTTCAAAACGGCCATCATGCTACCGCTTGACGACCGGGCGCACGGTTGCGGTGACATGGTGTGTGGGATTCTTACCGCACTAAAACCTCCTTGGACGCCTTGCCCTTTACCTCCGGAACCACTTATCGTATAACTTCGGTGGGCGCTGTGCATTACGTACCTCACTTTACCTCAGCTAACTGGCGCTTCCAGTTCGCTGATCGTCTCTCCAATTTGTGAGCCATTTAGCTCCCAGCGTCACGTTAACGTCATTTAGCTCACGTACGTCACGCTAACCCCCGGAATGTATTCAACCTACTTCGACGGAGAGTTCTCCCGGCTTCGTCTTTCACTTCACACTCGTACTATTTTCTAGCTGGTCTTCTCGCCATTTTCGCTGCAGCGCTGACATGATCTGCGTTACTGCTTTGCTGACGGCGTTAAAGGTGCCCTCCTCTCAACACATTTCTTCGACGACATTCTCCGCGCTAAGGGCGAGCATCTCCTGTCGCACAGCATAATCGAAGACCACGTGGTCTGGTGGTTCTTCCACATTCCCACACTCCGGCCAGAAGGGTGACGTTGTGTTTTCGAACCGATGCATGTACTTCCTGAAGCAGCCATGACCAGACAGGAACTGCGTCAAATGGAAGTTGACTTCTCCATGCTTCCTGTTCACCCAGGTCGAAAGAATCGGTATTAGCCTGTGTGTCCATCTACCGTTCTCTGCTGCATCCCACTCCTGCTGCCACTTAGTCATCGACACCGTTCTCACCATTTTTAGTACTCCTCTGGTTTCTCTCGTCATATAGCACTCGTAGTCCTCCGCCAAGGTGATGCCGATTGGGATCATACCGGCGATAACGCATACTGCCTCCAGGATTACTTCCACTCACTTGCTATAAAAATTGGTTTTTTTTTCATAATTATGAAATCATTAGGAGTTCAAAAGATAATAAGTACTTGCTATTTAGAAGAAGAGGCTGTAAAGTATGTGTTTGACTCATAAAACCTATCAATTTTGCTTTCAGGGCGTCACAATCAGCGATTTATGATTTGTGAGCGTTCACTCAGAGTGAGCGCTCACGAATCGTAAGATCGCTTATTGAGACGCTCTGAACGCAATATTGACAGGTTTTATGTATCAAACACATACTTAATAACCTCTTCTTCTAATGAGCAAGTACTAATTATTATTTTAATATCAAATGATTTCATAATGATGAAAAACTATTTTTTATAGTAAATGAGTGGAAGCAACCCTGACTGCCTCCGTCGAAATGGTTCTGTACGCACTCACCTCTTGCTGCTGCTTGGACCAGAATTGTTCGGCATGATTTTGGCTATTGCGTTGATGACCTTCACCGCCTTCTCGCACGCATATTCGATGTGGCTGTTAAAGTTTAGCCGGTCGTCGATAATCACTCCCAGATACTTCAGCACGCGCTTCGAAACAATGGCGTGCTCTCCAACGGTTATTTCTGCCCGCTGCACTGCTTTACAGTTACTGACCAACATCAGTTCTGTTTTGTGGTGGGCTATTTGCAGCTTCGCTCCTTGCATTCACAGTCCAATCGTATCTATCGTCTCACCTGTTACCGTCAAGACGCCATCGTCCGCAAAGCCAACGATCTCACCTCCTTTGGGTAGCTTGAGCGTCAGCACTGTACATTCCGTTCCACAACGTGGGACCTAGAATGGAGCCTTGTGGAACTCCCGCCGTGATCCTAAGCGATTTCTGCCTCGTGTCTGTCTCGTAGACCAGAACCCGGTTCTGGAAGTAACTACTTAGAATCCTGCAGAGGTTGTCTGGAACCCTAATTCTATGGAGCGCCTTAGCGATGGTCTCCCGCTATTGAATGTATTCTTCACATAAATCGTAATCACGGCGCAGTATCGATATCCTCTCCGCTTCTGTTTGGAAGCTTTCCCGGGTCTGTCAATCACTGTTCGAATTGCATCAACCGTCGATCTCCCTTTCCGAAATACTAACTGCCTCTTCGACAATCCGTGTTCACTCTCCGTGCATTTCGTCAGCCTGTTCAGGATGATCCTCTCCAAGAGCTTTCCGAAAGTATCCAGCAAGCATATTGGCCTATACGATGCAGGATCCCCCGGCGGTTTTCCGGGCTTCGGCAACAGCACAAGCTTTTGTACATTCCACCTATCAGGGAACTGATCCTCGTCCAGACATTTCTGCAGCACCATCCTGAACATGTCCGGGAACGTCTGGATCGCCGCCTTCAACGCTACGTTGGGAATTCCATCCACGCTGGGAGCTTTCTTCGCCTTCAACCCTTTCGCTGCTGCTAGGAGTTCCTCGTTGGAGACTTGTTCAACGTTGTCTCCATCTTCCTCACCTTATGGTGTAGGTGGCCAGGTCGTTGGGTCATGCTGTGGGAAAAGTACCTCCACGATGACTTTCAGCTTGTTGGGACACATTTCAACCGGCATCGTTGGACCTCTGATATTTGCCATCGCGATTCGGTATGCGTTGCCCCAGGGGTTGGCATCGGCGTCGCGGCACAGCTCCTTGAAACTATTTGATTTGCTCAGCTTGAAACGAAAGATAAGCAACTTGGCCTCTCGGAACACCACCCTGCGCTCCTCTCTGTCTGTTTCCGTTCTTGGTCTCTGGCTAGAAGACAAGTAGCACGGAGGGTGCTCATTTCCTCGTTCCACCAGGAAACTGGACGCCGCCTGTTCGTTGGCTCCAGTTTTCTCGGTATAGTTGTGTCACATGCCCTTGCTAATGATTCGGTCAACTTGTTGGCGCTTAGGCCCGGGACGCTGCTGTGTACCCTTAGAGCTTCGATGAAGAGATCCTTATTGAATGCCTTCGTCTTCCACTTCCGCTCGCTTACTTTCGTCCTCCGCATTTCCACCGGTGTCCGTTCGCCGATACTGTACCGGATCGCTTGATGGTCACTATGGGTGTACTCTTCGCACACTCTCCAGTTCATATTTGCCATTAGCGACTTACTGCAGAAAGTGACGTCGATAATGGATTCCCTACCATCTTTGCGGATGGTTCCTAAGTCGGCCAGACTGACGTTCAACTTTGCCAGAGCTTCCAGCAGGCTATACCCTCTTGCGTTGGTACACCTGCTCCCCAATCCACTGCCCAAGCATTGAAGACTCCTGCGATGATGACTGGTCTCCGTATAATGAGCTCTCCAGTGAGCCCATCTAGCATACGGTGGAACTGCTCAATTGTCCATCTCGGGGGTGCGTAGATTCTATTGATTTTGGCGATCACGAAACCTTCGTATGAGCCCGCCACCACTTGTTGAAAGGGATACCTGCCCATGACTTGTATGGCCGCCATTCCTGCTGTATCCGCCACTCGGGACTCGATATGGCTCTGCAATGATAGCAACGTCGCACATTATTGCTGGCCCACCATCGCCTTCTTGAACTCTGGGCACCTGAAACTTCCCGTCACATGGCCGTTTCCGTTCTCCTTTTTGCAGAGCATGCACCTCGGTTGCTTCGTGCAGTCTTTTGCAACGTGCCCCTTTGCTCCGCATTTCCTGCACAGATCAGATCTGTCAGGGCCTTTGCAGTTTCTCGCCTGGTGACCGAAGCCCATGCATTTGTAGCATCTCTCGATTTTGTTAGATACCCGAAATTAACCGTAGGGTCCCTTTTCAGCTCGAATAGTATCTCGCCTTTCTGGGTTCGCCTGGTTTTCACCACGTTCTCGCCTAGTTGTTTCAACTCCGGATCCTCTCTCACTTTCCGGAGGAGTGCTGCGTAGGACATTTTGTCCTTCGCCTCAACAACCAGAGCGTCACCCTTGCTTATCTCCCTACGAGGCCTAGGCTTCTCCTTGTTCTTCCTGTCTTCCTTCTTCTTCTCTTCCTTCTTCCTCGCTTCCTCTTACTTCTTCCTCACTTCATATTTCTTCTGTTTTTTCTTCCTCTCCTTCTGGTTCTCGACTTTACACCACCCACCATTTTCTCCCATCTCCTTGATGTCTTCCTCGTCGTCCCTGCGTTTTTTGGGCTCCTCCTCATCTCCTGGCGTGTCCCTATCTCTCTTTTCAGGACGTGGATTTGTGGGTCCTTTCGGCGTCTCATGTGCTTGACCCAGTCTTATGCTCTCCTTGGCCTCCAGCAGAGCCTTTTCGGCAATTTCGGCTCTTTTTCTCCACTCTTCAAATTCCCGATCTACCACTGTTATGCCGGATTTGATACCGGTCACAAGTTGCTTGATCTCTTTGTGTACGTTGGTTTTATCCTTTACGAACACATAGAGTTCATCGATCTTCCTCCTGACCTCCGTAATTTTGGGTCTCCCAAGCTGCAGTTCTTGAGATTTGTTACTGCTGGATATCGGTGTGACTATCTGGCTTAGCCCAATGCCTAGCTGCTCTCCTTGGGACTTACTGCTGCTGCTGAAACTTGCAGTGGTCCCCAGGTTCGACACTGGTGATCTCTGCAATATCCCGCTCCTTGCGAACACGTTCGCTCCACCGTTTTCATTGTCTGGCGTCTTGCCGTGGTCTTTCATATTTTTTTGGTTTTTTTCTTTTTCTTCATTTTTGTTTTTTTCTCCGATTTTCTCCATTCTGTTGGGTCCCTCCTCCGGACCGCTATCTCCACTCGTTGTATGTAGTCTCCTATCGTGATCCCATGGTTATCTATGCAAGCAGGGAGGCCATGCTAGGGTTGACACGGTCCTTCATGGGGGCCGTGTTCAGAGCCAGATCGGCGTAAGTCAGGAATGTAACATCTGAGCCTACTACTCACTAACCACCAATTGGTGACGAGTTTTGAACGTATCCAGAGGCCTGCCAAGGTTTTACCGGGACGGGGGCAGCCACACTATTGGCCCACTTGCCATTCCAAGAAGTTGTCACCCTTCTTTACCCAGGGAGCAGAATAGCACGACTGTCAGCCCTGTAGCGTGGTATCCAATCCATTGTGCCGTATCGTGTCCATAGTTCCATGCCGTGTCCAGTATGCCGTAATAAGGATCTTACTGGCGTCGATTTTAATGTGCCGGTGTGTGTGTGTGTGTGTGTGTGTGTGTGTGTGTGTATGTATGTGTATGTGTGTGTCTGCGTGTGTGTGTGTGTGTGAGTGTGTGTGCGTGCGTGCGTGTGTGCGTGTGTTTGTGTGTGTGTGCGTGTTTGAGTGTGTGTGTGTGTGTGTGTGTGTGTGTGTGTGTGTGTGTGTGTGTGTGTGTGTGTGTGTGTGTGTGCGTGTGTGTGTGGTGTGTGTGTGATGTGTGGTGTGTGTGGTGTGTGGTGTGTGTAGTGAAACATAACGGCAGCTCCAGTAGAAAAAGCAAAAAAAAAACACGTCCTCCTCAGATTTACATGAACGTTTGAATAATTGTTTGTTATGGTTATTAAAAAAAAAGATTAACAATTAAAAATTATTTATATTAAACAAGGACATTTTGGAATATTTCAGTTTTGAACTCTTTCCTTTAAAGTTACAAATTGAACTGTCCGTGTACATTTTTCCTATAATGGCTTTATTTTTCTCTACACCTTTTTCCTAGACGTCATTTAGATCATAAGTTACTATTATTCATAATAATACTACAATTTATTAAAACTTGTCAATTAGAAAAAAATTAAAAGATCCAATTTGTACCAATTTAGAAATGAGAATGATAGCCTATAACGAACAATTTAAAGTTCTGGATTTATTCCCTTTTTTCATGAAGATAGTTGAGATTTTTAAACCAATTTAAAATTGTTTGCTTGCATTTCGTTACAGACAATGTTACGCTTCATTCTGTCCATCATTATCTGTTTGAGGATCATCGGAGTCACCACTTCTGTCATCATCTTTCCTCTCATCACCACCATAGAGACGAAACATCCTATAGTCAACGAGACAATGTATGCCGCATATCCGAACCTCTGGCTGTTGGATATGAGCAACCAAACGAGATTTGAATTCCCAGTTGACCAGGTTCTGCTGATACACGACTACCTCACACGTTATGTATGCAACAATTGTGGGATACATTCCATCTACCAGATATCCTTGTCGCAGCTACCAGAACTTACTTATCTTATTGTAAATAATAACACCCTCCAGTACATACATCCAGATGCATTCGAGTACAATACGCTATTGGAAAAGGTCAGTTTTGTTGGCAACCAACTTTCCACATTCAATCCGGAAGCCACAATTCGGCACATGGCTGCGCTAAACATACTGTATCTAAGCAGCAACGAGCAATTTGATTTGAACAAGGTGGACCTGCAATCTCCAAGATTGATGATATTCATTTGCAATTACTGCCACACTACCTTTCTCGTTCAGGAAACACTGACCAACATGCCAAGACTTTCCGTGCTGTATCTGTCGTACAACGTAATAGACAGGATCGACGATGATGCTTTGATGCCGGCTAAAAAAATTACGAGGTTGACAATCAACGGTAATAAACCCTTGCAACGATTGAATCTTACATCGAAATCACTGAAAGTGCTCAATGCTGCAGAATGTAGTTTGCATGGCACGCTGGATACATCTCACTTACCGATGCTGGAATCTGTCAACGTGAGAAATAATAGGATTGCTCGGATAAATGAGGATGGATTTCAGCAGAATCCAGATATAAAAATTATCTTGCTGGACGATAATTCAATCGAAAAGGTCCCCACAATACTACTAGGACTTCCTATGAACAGGTTGGAGCAGCTATGCATGGACAGGAATCCACTTCAACCGTGTGATCAAACTGATTATGCAAAGGAGCTGTACGAAATAAGAGGACTCCGCCGAAGTTGTTTGGATGATAGTAATCCTTTGTATGAGTTTGAAAACTATCTACCGATTAATACTGGAAAAGCGGTATATAAGAAAACTCCCATCCATCTTCGTAGTAGTGATGGATTAACAGTAGACCTTTCGAATAGAGAAATTGTATACATAGAACCAGATTACCTAGTAGATGATAGAAATGTGACGAATGTTTTATTTGACGATAACCGTTCGTTTGAGTTTCAACAGGATACGATATTTCTTAAAAGTTCTTCTGTTGAACTAATATCTTTAAAGAATTGTTCAATCACAACATTATACGAGGCTACATTCAAAGAACTACCAAATCTAAAAACCCTGCATCTGCAGGGCAACCAAGTTCAATCCATTCATTCCCATTTATTGTTCAAAAATAACCCAACCTTAACATTTCTGAGCCTCTCACACAACAATCTTGAATTGATCGTTGCAAATGCATTCCAAACCCATTCCCAGTTAGAAATCCTTAACTTAGACTGGAACGATCGTCTATCAAACAGCGCCCATGGTCCGTTCCTTCTGAGCACATCACTAAGGAAGCTCAGCTGCACACACTGCCGGTTTGTACGGCTTGACAATATGGCCCTGACAGGATTACCAAATCTGATAGAACTAAACCTAGAACACAATCATATAGAACTATTGGAAGCTGATGCCCTTCGGTGGACCACTGAACTAAAGTACCTTAATCTACGACATAACCGGCTGGTGGTTTTTAAACCGAACGTCAACCAGCTAAACCATATGAAGACACTTTGTCTAGCTGGTAATCCACAGTTTGACTTGGAACAATTGCTGTTGCATGACATTCCGAAGATTAAGCAGCTGAACAAAGATTGCCAAGACGAACAATTTTCCAACAACTTGGTCGAACGGTACAAATTAATAAAAGAAGCAAAACATGGAACCATGGAGTTGCTACAAAATAAACTTGTACCATTAATGTACGTTGAAACATCATCTACCGTGTCTTTAACGGCAGATGTGAGTATTATTTTACTGATGGCCTGTAGCTTGGTCACTTATCAAGTATTATTTTTTAGTCATAATTTGTTTTGTCATCTATTTTTGAATTTCAATAATACACACTTAGAAAAACTCATGTAAATTTAGGTGCTCTGAGAGTGACGAATACGAGCGTCAATTTTGACCTAAATTTGCGGCATAAATGATATTTGTATTTGTAATGGCGAACGTTATAGTTTATTTCACAGTGCTGTGATACATTGGATAAATTAAGTGTGAAATTGTTCTTGTGCCGCGGTAGAATTAATCCTACGCGTGCCCCGTAGTGATAATTTATTGGGTAAGAAGGAGAACGGTTGCTGCTGCCGCTGGTTCTCGTTCAATTTGTGTTTTTTTCCTTCGCCCGGCAAGCTATTGGTACCGTTTAGCAAGCTACGGCATTGTAAATTTCTGCTTTCTTTCGTGTTTACTTGTGTCTCTGTAGTGTTGCATGTAAAGTTTATGTGTATAGGTTATATATACACGGGAAATAATCCGATTCCATTTTCATGAATAAAAAATCATGAAATCCAAAATTTTGCCATCCCATGAAATCATAGCAATAATTCATAATTTCGTTATGGAAATATGGCTGAGTGTGCAATGTGTAATTTGGGGATTTTGGTAAGTAATTTGCCGTTTTTCAAGAAAATGCGAGTTTTGCGGATGTTTTAAAAAGACATAGTCGTGCAAGTAAAAGTAAAAATATTAGTAACAGTAACAGTAACAAACAGATTAATCGTAAGACTCGTCCGGTCATTGTGTTAAACCAAAAGAGTCCAAACAAGCTTGGGAAGATACTCGTAAGTTTTTGAAAACACAGTTAGATCCAAAAACACACAAAATTAGTAATTACAGGAATGGTAAAGATGGCTCCATGATTGTTGAGTGTGCAACAGGAGCTAATCTAAATTATGTGAAAATAGTATTGAAAGCAATCTTGGTGAAAAATATAGTGCTGTTGTTCCCACATCGGTGCCAAGATTGAAAATAGTAGGCATGAGCGATCAGTTTTCCTCCGATGTCTTCATTGACTACTTAAAAAGTCAAAATGAAGACATCGCTATTAATGATTTAAAAGTAGAACATGTTTGAAAATCAACGTTTCACTTAAAACAAGTTTAGTGTTTTAATTGAAGTCATATAGTCGATACGTATAAATGTTTGTTATTTGCGAAACAAGTAAATGTTGGTGTCGTGACTGAACCGGTGCTCGATAGTGCCAGCGATTAATGTGTTGAGATGCTTCAAATGTGGAGAATTTTGGCACAAGAGCATGGATTGCAAAAAAATTGTGATAGATGCTCTAGGTGCAGCCAACAACACAAAACGTCGGAGTGTACGTCAACTGTATTGAAATGTATTAATTGTTTGAAAATGAATTAAAAACGCAAAATGAACTTGGACGTCAACCATGCCGCATTTAGCTCGGAATGTTTGCTCTATAAACGACTTTTTGATCAGAAGAAAAGCAGCTTGCGTTTCAATAAATAGCAGCCAAGGAATGTGAATCAATTCGATTTTTTGTATTTGAATATTACGGTATCGTCAACAAACTACGTGGCATTACGTCAGATTGTTGAGGAAAAACGTCCTCTTTAAGTTTTCTTATCTGAAACTCACATTGTAGAAACTGAAGCTTTTGATCAATATAGTATTCCGGGATATATTGTTGCTGCTTGTTTATCACATTCTAGACACACTGGCGGTGTTGCTATTTATGTCAAAGAATCAGTTCAATTCAGCCTTCGTACCAACGAAGTTATTGATGGCAACTGGTGCTTGGGCATTACATTTGTACGTGGCATGAAGATGGGTAATTATGGTGTTTTGTATCATTCTCCCAGTTTTAGTGACCCAGCGTTTTGTTGAAGTTTTAGAGAACTGGCTCGAGACATTCCTTGATTCTAGTAAATTAAATATACTGGCTGTTGATTTAAATATTAATTGGCGTGAAAACCATAATTCGAATCATTTGAAGCGTTTAGCTAAGTTTTTTTTTTTTTATTTAAAGCAAACGGTAAATGAATATTCGCGTATTTCCAGGCACAGTAGATCTTTAATTGACCACGTTTATTCCAATTTTGATTCCATTTGTTCAGTTACGGATACTGATTTGAAAATAACCGATCATGAGACCTTAGTGATTAATGTATAAGATAATATAAATAACAACGATGATTTTTTTTTCTTCTGTTCGGGACATAAAACTACTGCGACCAGAAAATTTGATCTATTGTAGTATATCCCGTGTCCTTAGTTTAGTGCATGCCGTATTACTTCATCACTATTTAGAAATGATGAAGTATTCGGTTTTGAAACAGTTGTCATTCTTACCTTTATTACAAGGAATCGATTCTAATTGAAAGGTCCTACCATTGATACCCTTGGGAGTATTGGTACACCCTCCAAAGGCGCGCCTCTTTGTCAGTCAAAATTGGATTCCTTAGCAACAAAATTAAAGAATGACACCGATAGTGACCATGCATAAGAACCCTAGTCAACGATGAATTAGTCAAATTGAAGTGCTGGAGGAAATATTCGAAACAGGCTATTTCGAATCTCGTTGAGAAGAGCGTGGATTTTCCATTCGCGGCCGGTACAAAAAGTTTTGTAGATCTAATAATGACAATCATTGGAATATGTACACAATCGCGCGTAATAAGTATTCACAATCGATAAAGAAAACTCGCTGTGAATATGTTCAAAGGAAGACTGATCAGCATCAAAACAACTTGGGAGAACACAAGATGACACTAACTTCTAAATCCTCAAATCTATCCGTTTTAAAAACACATAAATTAAATTCAAATAGTCAAGGTCTCGGCTCGCCAAGACATCTCTAACGGGTATCGCGGGTTGTTTTCCTCGGGCCCTGAGGGATGTGGATAACTCAGATCTGGCAACACGGTGTAAGGTACACGACCAAACAACATGCTCGATATCGTGATAACCACTGCCACACGCACATAAATTGCTGTCTGAGAGCCCAATTCGATAGAAGTGCGAGTCTAACGAGCAGTGATTGGACATAAGCCTTGATATAACGCGTATAAAGTCGCGGCTCATGTCCAACCCTTTGAACCATGGTTTGTTCGACACCTGTGGGAGAATAGAATGTAACCATCTTCCCAATTCACCATCATTCCATTTTTGTTGCCAACTGATGTGGACTTGCTGGCGAGCAATGGAGAAAAATTCGTTGAAGGCGATTTGTCGATCAAAAATATCGCCTTCCATAGCGCCCACCTTAGCTAGCGAGTCCGCTTTCTCATTACCCGGAATTGAGCAATGAGATGGGACCCAAACTAAGGTGATAGTATAGGAGCAGTTAGATAAAGCACTCAGTTTAGATCGTATTTCAGGCAGGAAATACGAGGAGTGCTTCATCGGCCTCATTGAACGAATAGCCTCCAATGAGCTAAGACTATCCGTGAAAATGAAATAATGGTCAGAAGGTAGTGAGGCAATTCGCTCTACTGCGTAAAATATAGCTGCGAGTTCCGCAAGGTATACGGAGCATGGTTTCTGCAGTTTATAGGAGGCGCTATGAAATTGATTAAATACACCAAATCCAGTGGAAGCATTTATGGTTGACCCATCTGTGAAAAATCTTTTATCGTTACTTACATGGTGGTACCTGATTGCAGAAATTGAGGGAACAACCATCGACCGATGGTGATCTGGTATTCCATGGATTTCTTGCATCATGGTCAGATCAAAATTTACAGAGGAACTATAGAAGGCTTGGAAGCAATCACGATTGGAGATTAATGAAGAAGGACCAACCTCCAGCGTCATGTACTCATAGTACAAACTCATGAATCTTGTTTGAGGATTTTGGTCGAGCAGCTTCTCAAAGTGTTCTATTACCAAAGGATTCAATACTTCACAACGGATGAGGAACCGGAAGGACAGTTCCACGAAACGATCTGTCAGTGGGAGAACACCCGCAAGTACTTCGAGGCTCATCGTATGCGTCGAGTGCATACAGCCAAGCGCGATTCGGAGGCAACGGTATTGAACCCGTTGTAGCTTCAGGATGTGTGTTTTTGCCGCGGATTGAAAGCAGAAGCTACCGTACTCTAGGACCGACAAGATGGTTGTTCGATACAACCTGATCAGATCTTCCGGGTGTGCTCCCCACCAAGTTCCAGTAATTGTACGAAGAAAATTGATTCTTTGTTGGCATTTTTGTTTCACATACGCAATATGTTTTCCCCACGTGTTTTTGAAATCGAACCAGACACCTAAATACTTGAAAGATATACTTTGAGTGATTGTTCTACCCTTTAGTTGAAGCTGTAACTGTGCAGGATGATGCTTCCTAGAAAAAACAACCAACTCAGTTTTCTCCGGAGAGAATTCGATACCCAGCTTCATAGCCCAAGTAGACAAATTGTCTAAGGTATCTTGCAATGGTCCTTGCAGGTCCGGTGCACTTGGTCCTATAACGGACACAACGCCGTCATCTGCAAGCTGCCTTAGCGAGCAATTTTCATCAAGACAACCATCAATGTCTTTAACGTAAAAATTATAAAGAAGGGGGCTTAAACATGAGCCCTGGGGGAGACCCATGTAACTAATTCGTGAAGTTGTCGAGTTTCCATGAGAAAAGCTCATATATTTCTCAGACAACAAGTTGCTCAAATAGTTGTTCATAATTGGTGAAAGCCCACTATCGTGGAGTTTATCCGAAAGGACATCGATACAAACAGAATCAAAAGCCCCCTTAATGTCCAAGAAAACTGAACCCATTTGCTGTTTTTGCGCATAGGCCAGTTGAATTTCAGTTGAAAGCAACGCAAGACAGTCGCTCGTTCCTTTGCCTCTCCGAAATCCAAATTGCGTATCTGAAAGTAAACCATTCGACTCGACCCATTTGTCTAGACGAAAAAGAATCATTTTCTCCAACAATTTCCGTATACAGGACAGCATCGCGATGGGACGGTACGAGTTATAATCCGACGCGGTTTTACCGGGTTTTCGAATGGCGATAACTCTTACTTGCCTCCAATCATCCGGAACAATGTTGTGCTCCAGAAATTGATTGAATAAGTTCAACAAGCGTCTCTTCGCGACGTCTGGGAGATTTTTGAGCAAGTTGAACTTGATTCTATCCATTCCTGGGACTGAGTTGTTACATGAGAGGAGAGCAAGTGAGAATTCCACCATCGAAAACGGAGAATCTATTTCGTTACTACCCGACGGACTATCACGAACGTTGGTTTGAACCGACACCGAATCCGGGCAAACTTTCTGCGCGAAGCTGAATATCCAACTGTCTGAGTACTCCTTGTCTTCGTTGACCGGTGATGACGCGTTGCGCATTCTCCTGCCGACATTCCAGAGTGTTCTCATGGAAGTATCTCTCGACAAACCATCGACGAACCGACGCCAGTAACCGCGTTTTTTGGCTTTAATCAAGCTCTTAAAAGTTTTTTCGAGGTCGGTGTACCGCTCGAAATCCTCGACCTTACCGTGTTTGCGGAAGCGTTTAAACGCGGCGGACTTCTCGCTGTTCGCGTCGGTGCAATCCTTATCCCACCACGGAGTGAGAGGTCGTTTGCGAACGAAAACACCCGGAACGCGTTTCGTCTGTGCTTGAAGAGCGCAGTCAACGATAAGTCGCGATAAAAAGGAGTACTCATCCAGCGGAGGGAGTATCTCAACCGAATCAGTACCACCGAGAACCGCGGACGCAAATTTTTGCCAGTCGATGTTTTTCGTGAGGTCGTACGCGATGTCAACCGAGCGAGTGGAAGATGAACCATTGGTAATAGAAATTTTGATTGGCAAGTGGTCACTACCGTAGGGATCTTGAATTACTTTCCACGAGCAATCCAACGATAGTGAACTCGAACTGAGGGAGAGGTGTAATCTACTTTCTCTTGCTGGAGGTTTGGCCACTCGTGTTACTTCCCCAGTGTTTAGAATTGTCATATTGAAGTTATCGCAAAGGTCGTATATCAGGGTTGAGCGGTTGTCATCGTACAGTTCCCCCCAGCCTGTACCGTGGGAGTTAAAATCTCCTAATATCAACCGAGGCTCAGATAAAGCTGAGCAGATATCTGAGAGACCTTGGCGAGAAATCGCAGTTCTTGGAGGAAGATATACTGAGGCAATACTGAGGCTTTTACCTCGAATATTTACCTGACATGCGACAACTTCAATGCCTGTCACGGAAGGCAGATCGATTCTATGAAAGGAATGGAGCTTATTAATCCCGGGAAGCACCCCTCCATACGAATCTGCTCGATCAAGGCGAATAATGTTAAAATCGTGGAAAGGGAGATCGGTGTCTGAAGAAAGCCATGTTTCACAAAGAGCAAATGCATCACAAAGTGAGTTGTGAACTAAAAATTTGAATGTGTCAAGTTTCGGTATAAGACTTCTACAGTTCCACTGAAGAACAGAGATCATATCCCCGACCTCATTCGGAAAATTATCCATCAAAGGATATGATCGATGTAAGGAAGGACCACCTAGAAGCTAGTTGCTTCAAAAGAGTTTTCACGAATGGAAGCACTAAATTAATAATGTTCCGAGTTGAGTCAGAGACGTTGAATATATTGAAGATGCTCTCCACAATTCCAGAAAACGTGAACATGGCATCATGTTCTTGCTGATTATTCAGCTGTTTTTCTGGCTGAAAAACTGGGATATCTGGGGTTTTAGATGATCCCGGAAGTGGCGGAAAGTCCTTGTTAAAATTACAAGATTTAAATCCCGGTGGTGGGGGTTTCGGTACATTTCCGCTACCTCTTAAATTTGTCAAGGTAGGTTGGTAGTCCATACGAGAGGTCTTACGCGGATTTTGAGTGACGTTTTTTTTTAATCGCTTTCTCGTGTTGCCTTTAAAGACAAAGGGACTACCTTCACCAACCTCTGAGTCAGAGCCCTGATCATCATCTTGCAAAATGGAGTATGTGTTTTTGGTTTTTGGGGTGGTTTGGGAAGATGAAGCGGTGTTTTTTAAGAGTTCTGCAAGTGACCTCTTGGAGCGAGCTTGCAAAGACCGCTTAAGTTTTTCTCCCTGCTGTTTGTACTTCGGGCAATCAACCAAAGCATGCAGAGTATCCTTGCAGTAAACACATTTTGGGGTAGCCCGGCAAGGACCATCTGCATGCAGCTCGCCGCATTGATCGCAGCTCGGTTTGTTGGAGCAGAAGTCAGCGGTGTGACCAAGTTGCTTGCATTTTGAGCAGTTCATTACCCGCGGTACAAACAAGCGTACAGGCAGTCGAACCTTCCCAATTACGACGTAGTCAGGTAGCGCCGATCCTGAAAAGGTCACACGGAACGAGTCTGACAGAGAGTACGTTTTTTTTCGTGCCAATGAGAGACACTGATTGCATTTGGATGCAATCCAGAATCTTCACTTTCGGAAGGGCACGGTTTTTAAAAATACCGAAGGATTCGGCATGAAGGAAATCTTCGCAATCGACTCGCTTCGGTGACCACTCCTTCGATTTCTACGTCGCAACTCGGGATGTAGACTCGATATTCCATCGTAAAAAGCTCATAGGCAACAATCCGGTTTGCCTGTTTCAGGTCATCAACGGTAACGCGCAGTTTGTTTGGCGTCACCTTAAATATATCGGTTACGGCCGAAAAATGTTTTGTCAGATCCTTCGAAATCCGAGAAATATTCAAAGGTTTTTGTTTGGGCCGGAAAAAAACAACCCACGGACCTTTTGAGCCACTTGGGTAAGCTTTATGGCGGGGGGTCGCAGAAATTTTTAATGGAACGGTTGGAGTAGGGGGAACAGGTGGACGAGGGGGCGATGGTGGGGAAGGGGGGCAGGGGGTGCAGGAGGCTGTTGTTTAGACATCACCTTTGGGTAAGCTCCAGTGCTCGTTTTGGGGTCCGAAGTAGAGTCCCCTGAGGTATCCATTTTCTCTTCAGTGAGAAGCAGATTTTCGAATGATGGAGATTCAACAGACTCATCATCGGAGATATCTGCTAGCGAAATACCCCCGCCATCATTTGTTTCATCCATTGCGGGGTCTTAAGTACCTCCGCAACAGATTTCGACATAAACAAGAAGAAAAAAAAAATATGCGTGAGGAAAACAAAAAAAAAATAAAATAATAATAAAAAAAAATATATATATATAAAAAAAACTTGTCCAACAAAAAAAAAATAAAATAATAATAAAAAAAAATATATACATAAAAAAAAACTTATCCAACAAAAAAAAAAAAAAAAAAATAATAAAAAAAATATATAAATATACGGTAAAAATAATACTTAATCCAACAAAGCAAAAAAAATGTGCCAGGAAAGTTAATCAACACTATAGGGAGATTAATCAGACTGCAAAAAAAACAGTAAGTGAAAAAAAAGAAAAAAAAAATGAAAACTTTTTCAGAAAAAACAAAAAGGTGTCAGAAAAGTTAATCAACACTATAAGGAGATTAATCAGCAAAAATTAATAGCAAAAAAAAACCAAAGTGAAAAAGAAAAAAAGGAAAACTTTTTCAGGAAAAAACAAAAAGGTGTCAGAAAAGTTAATCAACACTGTATGGAGATTAATCAGGTTGCGGAGAACGGAAGATAACCGTTTGTTAC